TGTGGATGTAATACCGTACGTCCACAATAACAGGAGCTTCTCAACCTTATTTTTGGAACAAGGACTCGCTTTAACTATGAACCTCCCAACTTAGCATTTTCATCGGTTTGCATGAATAGACCCTCCGCCAAAATGTTTCCCCAAAAACCTCAGCCAATTTTCACGCAGAAAAAAATATCTAAAGCCACGTGCCATCAATAGCGCCTCTACAGATTTCCAACTGCCTCGATTTATGACTCAATTAAGGCAACACCTGGCCAATTAAATATTACATAGCTTAACGACTTGTCCATTTGCCCAACATCTGTTAAAATCCACCCTCATTGCCACTGCCCCCCCCCCCCCAACAAGAAGCCCCCCTCTGGGAAGCTTGGGGACCCCAACGGATTGGCAGTCTTAAGCCCCCTTAATTCATTGCTGTACTAGCAAGCTTATAAAATCTATGCCTGGGCAGTCTCCCATCCAAGGCCCACATCTGCTTAGCTAGTGTGAAATCCTCAAGACGCCTGTAGAATCTTCTTTGGAAGATGAATCATTGCAGTCAAGAAAGCTTTAAAACGCCTGTAGAACTTCGGGGTTCGCAGAGGTAAGGGTTACCTCTGGTATGGGACCGAAACCTTTCAGCATAGCAGCAGCTTTCACACAGAAATTATCTCAATTGTGGAGCCTGGATTGTGTGTGCTGGATTTTAAATATTATTTTTTCAAATGTGTCCACTCTGGATATCCATCCACACCTACTACTACCAAATAACAGGCCGAAATGTGACCAATTTCGTTAGATCTGAAAAGCTAAGCAAATGTAGGCCTTGTATGTGAGACTGCCTAGGTATTGCTTTTATAAGCTTGCTCGTACAGCAATGAATTCTTACATTTGTTTGCATGGAGTGTATAAATGTTGCACCCTCTAAGATGTTGATTTCATATGGAAAGTTTTTTTTTTTTCTCAAAGCCAAACAGTCATTCATGGAATTAGCTTAACACTGCAATACAGGAACCTGCTGAAAAAATATATAGATTTTCTGAGAACATAATTTATCACCTGCCTTCCATCCTTGCCGTGTCATTCCATACTTTTGGTGGAGAATCAGCCACATCACCTTGATTGAAGAACCAGCGATTTGCAGTTAAGAAAAACGCGTCAGATTCCCAACAGGAATTATAATAAAATCTCTATCACTCCTTTCCTCCAAATTGCTTGCCCCACTGGCAAACAGCTGTGATATCATCACTTGGGTCCCCCGAAGTTATCTTGTGCTTTTCAGCTAAATAATGATCAATTGTGCCAACGGCATATTACTATTCTGCATGGGATACATGTTTCGGTTTGAAACCCAGCAGGGTGTCGGAATACAGCTTCAGAAGATGATGTAACAAAACTATGTACGTTTATTGTATTGACCTCTTTATCCACACTAGGAGCATGTTAATAGTTCCTGCAGAGAAGTTTGTCAAATGTCAACCAATCTAAAATGTTTAATTCTCAGCGCAGGAAGTTAGTGTAATTAATACAACATAAATTACATTTAACATTTTTGCAGTCATTGTTAACCATGCTTAGATCATCAATTCACTACACTTGAGAAAGCAAACTCACCAGTGTCTGAAATCTGGATTCAACACCCATAATTTTTTATGGTGCCCAGCCCAGTGCTCCAACACGGCCATTGTGAGCCGCGTGAACCACACCCAGCCTCTTCCTTCATGCCCGGAATTTAAAAAAAGATAAATTAAAGGACGAAGTAAACCTCTTACATGAAAGCCATTCTTCACTTTAAAAAAAAAGTTAGAATGTTGGGCACAAGTTGCTATTTTATTTTACTGTTTGAAAAAAGGGGGACAATAAATCACTTTAAAACTGAAAACATCTCAGTCTATTATGATTGTTATGATTAAACTTCTCGCTCATTTGAATGTGGCTGTGTAAAAAAAAACCCCAGAGAACCCGGAATTGGCTGGGGGTGGGAGTCGAGTGGAGACGGGCATGCGTGCACCTTTAATAATAAAATTACTGCCAGCGGGACCGAGGGCTTTGAAGCAAGGCGGGCCCCGTGCAGTCACCGGGGTTTTCAATTGATGTGAAACGCGAGAGGCCGACAGAGGCTTTCGGCTTGTATTTCAAAAAGCGCAAAATTGCTACCACATTTACGGCGCCCGGCCTTCCCGGGACAACCTTTCCTAACTTGCTGCGGCCCTGTCGGAGGGTGGCTTTGAACGTTGTTTAGAAGTTTTGTCGTTGCTGCTTTAATTACCACAGCCCCCCCCCCCCCCACCATTGCCTCCCCAAGTTTTAATTGGCAGTGGTAGGGGTTCTGTGGAGGTAAGCGCACACATGGGAGCCGGCTGGCTGTGGCCCCTTAATTGAGGGGTTCTTCGTGGGGGGGGGGGGGGGTGGTGGGGGGTGGAGAAATTATTATTAAATTCTCATATTTTTAAATGACGGAAATGTTATTTTTTTCATTGGGTTGTGTTAAAACGTTTGTGTGTGTGCGTGCATTGTTTCAGAGGAACAGAGATGAATGTAAGTAAAATCGTTTCGTGAGAAATGTTTTGGAATGTGTGACCACTTGTATTAATGTCCACGATGGGCTAATTCCTTATTTTTATCCTGAGTACTATATACACAACTATTTTATTATGTTTTATTTTTATTATTTTATTTCCATTCTACGTGACTTTACCGAAAGAACCAGGAAGATACTATATATACACTTTCATGACAATGTTCCCGCTAATTTTCAAAACGCCCAAATAATGTTTTGCACGCCGTATGAACTAGATGTTTTTCATGAGTAATGTATTCTTTTAAATATAACGGAAAACATACGGTACGATATTAAAAATGGGCAAGTTATTAATCATTTGTATTATACATTTGTTGAAACGGGAAAGCCTCACTCATACGCCTCTTTCAGGAGGATCCTGACACTTTTTTTGCAGTAGGGGGCGATGCTAGCCATGTACAACACAGTCTTTTACGAAATTTGGACAAACACGGATATTCTTCTTTGGTTCTTTCGGTAAAGTCACGTAGAATGAGAATAAAATAATAAATTGATAAAAATAACACAATAATATTCAATTTATTATTTTATTCTCATTCTACGTGACTTTACCGAAAGAACCAAAGAAGATGAATCCTTGCAGTCACGAAAGCTTGAAATCGAAATTTAAACACGGATATTACTGCATGTAAATTGCACCTATGGGCGGAGTTTGGGGGGGCGAGGAGGTGTCGCCCCTCCCCCCAAACTCGACACAGTTATTAATTTATTTTAAGTAGTTTACAATCAAGATTTTAAATATATATGCACCCACGATTCCTATTGTGAGGGACAAAGCGAACCCCTGCTTCCCACCCTCGAAAAAACATGAGTTGCACTCATGATTGTATGTATTGAGTTTGTTTAAGCGAGACATTATCTTGATATTCTGTAAATAGATCAATGTAATAATTAATTGGCCAAATTATTGCACTTAGTTTATTTTATATGTATATGAAAAGTAAAATACTGCATGTGTACGTCGTAAATTCTGAATGACAGAAAGTTAAATTAATTCGTGTTATCTTTGCTTGCCATTATACGTTTTTTTTTGTAATCAAAGTATTCTTGCCTAATGCTTTGTGCACGTATTCAAGACGACATGGAAAAAAGTGGACGATTATAAAGGACACTATACATTTTTTTTTGCTGAAAAATAACGGCAACATTTTGCTTGGCCACAATTTGTGTGGACTTTTCAGAATGGCCTCCTCACAATGCGTGGCTGTTCCCCTGGTGCCTCCACCGCTACCAAGTGCGACGCACTCCTTAAAAAACGAAATCGGCCACACGCCTCCGTGGCAGAAGGACTTTTTCTGACAGTAACTGTTGAGCCTCCGTATAATAAAGTATTTTTTTGGTTGTTAAGATTGCGTAAACATAAATGTGTCGTTAAACCTGTCACCACCACCAGCCACGACAAATTAGTAAGGGTTGTCACGTAAACAAAACATGCCAATTAGTTACTAGTTCCACACGTGTGTTGGAAAGTAAACCCACACACAAAACCCTCTTATGGATAATATTAGTCGCAAAATCCTACGTGTCAAACTGTCTAACTTGTATGTTAAAATCCTCCCCGGAACGGCCGGAGGACAGAAATAGGAAGTTTGAGAAAACAAATTTAGTAAAATTTGGAAGTGTAATTTTACTAAATTGTTTTTTGATTTAAAGCTTTCGTGACTGCAGGGATTCATATTCTTGGTTCTTTCGGTAAAGTCACGTAGAAGGGAAAGAATAAAAAAACATAACATTCTCACATGATAATTCCCACATGAGAATTTTATTGTTTTATATCTTTGTTATTTTATTGTTTCCCTTCTACGTGACTTTACCGAAAGAACCAAGAATATCAATTTGTTTTCTCAAACTTACTATTTCTCTCTATAAATGTTGCCATGCTTGTTTGTTTATAGGTCCATTGTCTCTCCTCCGGCCGCTACGGGGAGGATTTCCACACAACTGTCTCATTGACATGCTAATTTCTCTACCCCCCCCCCCCCTCTCTATTTATGGCCTCGACACAGAGGCGTTGTGTCTGTGTCTCTCTGCTTGTGTCTGTCTATGTGTCTCCGTGTCTGTGTTTTTGTCTCTCAAATTTAGCAATCTTTGAAATAACGTAATCAACCAGGTAGGGTGTTGACTGTTGTGTTAGCCGACTCTCTTTGTTGTATTGCATTATATTTCTAAGCTTACTAGGTTCGTTTTCTCATTCATTCTTACCTGATGACGACTGCTTGTGTTGCAATCGAAACGTCGTATTCTATTATTATTGAATTTATTTTCTTTCTACGTGACTTTACCGAAAGAACCAAAGAGTAATTCCTGCAAGTCACGAAAGCTTCAAATTGAGTTTGTATGTTGAACTTCTTTCGCACCGTACGTAGCCAACCGTGCTAATCGGAGGTGTGCGGAGTGGGTGGGGGGGACAAAAAACAGACAATGGCAACACACCGCGTGCCTCCTCGAATGTAGCAAAGTTTTATTTGATCTCCTCGCGGCGCGCGGTATAACGAAGCACTGACGAGCACAAACGGGGATGAAAGCGGCGCGGCGTACACGGATCGAGAAGAGCGCGCGTGTTGCAATCCACCACGGACTGCAACACGCGCGATGCAACCGCTACGATGGAGAGATCGGATTCCCAGGAGGTTGGAATCCGCGCGCGTGCTGCACCACCCCCGCCTCGAAATAAAAATGCTGACGGACACCATGCTGCACATTGTAATGTACGCACGCGCAACTGGGAGGCAGAGGTGTAGTCAAGGGACCCAGTGATGACTGTTTTGTCGGTGTAATTCCTTTGGCTATCAGTTCTGGACATCGACTTAGGAGCTGGCTCTCCAAAGGCATACGCAATACGATTACGTTGGACATGTTACGCTAATAGGGTATGTGTGACCAGCAGTTATATATGTATATGTTTTGATTCATTTATTCATTTTCAGCCTACTTGCCATCTGATAAAACGTGAAGAGGACAGAGTGGTCTACTCAAGCATCACAGCTGTGCATGGAGCAGTCTAAAATGTGCAAGTGGATCGCTGTGGTCAGGCCCTCTTGGTAATCTGGATTTCAAAATTTCCATTGACGTGGCCTCACTTTGGCCTTGATCTCAAACTGCATATTCACAGGGTGGCACCTGACCGCACAGCATTCCCCCCGGGCACAGTTTTAACAACCCCCGTCTGCACGAATGTATGTATGGTATAACTAAGCTGAAATTACTCCCCTACAACACCAAACAGCGATGAGCAATGCACGACAGCACGCGGTCCCGTCCGTCTCCCCACGGTCAACCAGCAATCCTTGGGGTCGCATGCAACCGGCACCCACGCATGCGTTAATTGCGCAATGACTGACCGCTGGACAAAGAAGAGGTGGACTGCGTGCGATGGCGACGGCGGCTGGCAAGCTCACGCGTCGCCCACACCTTGTGCGTATGCGGCATGTTTATAACAACGCTACAGCTGTCGGGAGTCTGTTCGGTCAGTTTCCCTCGCATCGCGCGTCCGAAACACACAGTAATGATCAACATTATCAATCATCCTCGTACCCACCGATCGCTGCCCCAGCAACACCGTGGCTCAATTCCCGTATGGAGTGGCCAACCCAGTTCGGCTTTCAAGAGCGCATGCCCACATGCTCACGCTCGCAAATGATGGAGCCTATGGCTGCAGTTATTTGTGAAACTACACGTGCAGGCGTTGCAATGTCCACGTCTTTGTTAGGGGCCGCGTTGTATATTTTTCTCGCATGCTTTTGCATGTTTTATTGTCATGCAATCAATTTCATGCATTCAAAATGCAACATTTTTTCTGTAAATAATCTTATTATTCTACTGACAGCTCACTAATTATTGTTTCCAATTTGACTATTGAAATTTTATTTAGCATTGTATATAAGCATTTCTAAAACGCTGGCTGATGCAATGCTATAGGCAATGTCACTTTCGTGAGCTTGAAATTATCGTCTTGTATCTATCTCTCTGTTCAATCAACAGGTGGCAATGGGCAGTTCTTAAGCCACCAGAAGCCAATCACAAGCCAATCACAATCAATATACAAGGTAAAGCAAACCACACTGGGGTAGCCTCTCCCACTGACTTGATGACAATCTGATCGGAACATTCCCGAGTCTGGTATTCACACTGACCCGAAGACTGGACTAAAGAACCAAACGGCTGTTATTACTAGTTATACAATAGCGTATAAGTTGGACATCACGCTACATGAATTTTATTTATTGCAGTAGATTACTATGTTATACCGTTAGGGGATTTACCGATAGTACATATATACATCATATAAACTTCCCTCTTTTAAAATTATGTATCTACTCCGGAGACCACAAAACACACACAGCCTCTGTTTCATACACTTCTGTAAGTACTTATGAAGCTCTAAAATTAATGAGAAGCTTTCTGCGATTTTTCCTGTGAACATTTACATAAAAATAACCAGTGATCTGGCTCAATGACTCATGATATTAACTTGCAAGTGGAACCGCAGCATAGTCGAACGATGAGGGCTTTTGATTCAAATCTCGACATTGTCAGTGAGGTCTCTAGGACCGCAGCTGTGAACAAAGCCGACTTCAGGAAGCTGCTCAGAGAAACCAAAAAGCACAAATCACCAATGTTCCCTTTTTTAAAAAGTACAGGACTATCTGTCCTGTAAAATCTCAGCCGGCTACACTTGACATGTAGATGGTTATAGCTTTCGCAACGTCGGCTATGGTTGATCCAACACCTTAGTTTTACTTTTAAACCGTGTACAATCTACTGTTGGATAAAGGCCTCTCCAAGCACACCAAAATGACCATAATGGTAAAGGGGGACACCCCCATGCATTGGATAAATTACTCACTAACAGAGATAATATTCAAGTGGACGCCCTAACATGTAATCATACCAAACCATTTAAAATATTCCATTATCACAAGCCACTCCAACGGCGAAATTTGTTTTAACTTTGGGGTCATAGGAACAGTTTACATTTTTAACTTCTCCGTGATTCGTTCTTCCTTTATTGTTACCTAATTCATTCTAAACCAATATATATTGCGGCCCACAATCGTTCAGCTGCGCTGCTCTCGGCTGGACAGACAGGGTCTCTATGCGTGCCTGCCCCGTCACTGTGCTTCAAGAAACCAAGACCTGGAAGCGAGATTTGTTTTATCTTGAGCCAAACTTTACTCCTTTGTTACCCATTTCACGTAAGGGATTGGGGTGGTGTTGGGGTGGTTTATTTGTTACGTGAACAAAATCGAAATGAAGTATTAGAAAAAAGAACAATCCTGGTGACAACACCCGCCACCAGCTCCCTGCTCATCGTAGACAGTAGTTAAGCACTGGAGACGTTACGAATCACCACAATAGAAAATAAAGTACAGTATTATTTCGACAGCGGCGCGTGCGCGAATTTGCCCAGCCGGTGGCCACGCAAAGCCACGGCGTTTGCCGCCTCCGTTGACATTCGTCCAGAGGGCACCCGGCTGCTCGTCGCAGCGTCCGCACCACCGGTTGTGCTGTCATCCACAAACGATCCACCAGCCCCATAGCCTCCCCAACGGGTCAGTTGAGTTTTTTCGTTTAACAATTTGTCGACGTTATGTTGCCAGACACCCGTTCTCTGGATTAAGCAAACGTACGCGGCTCTGGCCACACGCGGGTTATCCGGATGGGCTCAAGAGTTTCTGCTTCCATGGTTGGAGAAATATATTATTGACGCATTGAAATCAGCAAGTTTGCCAGTAACAGAAAGTCTTCCATTGCAAGGGAGACCTGGCACTGCTCGATTTAAATCCTTGCAGTTGCGTTAAGTTGCTTTTTATTTGCATCCACACTCACGACAAACATTGTAACGCTGTGGCCACGCCATTCTTGGGTAGACGCGACCAGGTTTAGTGGCCAGTCATCACTTGTTCAATAACCACTCGTCAGTCACTTGATCTGAGCGACGCACTGAGAACAGAGAAGTCAGCCCCCCCCCCCCCCCCCCCCCCGTTTCTCGGTCGACAATTGCAAGGGACTCTGGGACGCTTGGACCCATCAGGGCCACCTAGTGGCTGCATTTTCATTGAAGTGATTTTCATGTATTATGGATGGGTTTCTTGTATTTATTTTAAACGTGTCTTATGCGAGAATGACAGTCTCTCTTTTCTGGTTTCTCAAAGTATTCGTTCACATTCCAGGACTTGTGTGACATGAATTTGGCTGCTGGGTTAATGCAGTCTTTTTTTTCTTGTTTTTTACATGCTCACGAAAATCCTGAAGAAATGTTCTGTTTGGTCACACGCTCAGCCTGCATTTGCCACAAGTGAGCACTCTGTGTAGTGTTCGACTCGGGTAGTAGAATTTAACGTAACATTCTGTGAACTTGGTCTGAGGAAAAATATACACAAATTGTAAGGAAATCATAGCTTTGCTGAAACGAGCCCTACATTACCGTGGTGACATACAGGCACCAATACACATCTGGCCAAGAGTCAGAACCCCTGGACACGAATGGCACGATCCAGATTAAATATCTCATTTCAGGGTAACAGCACGACTCTTCCAGACTTGGCTGATATATTTAGCTTGGACTGGTCCATTTTGTAAAGGGGCGACTACTTTGAAATCGTCTCCGAGGCAGCCTCTCTTGGTGTGTGTCGTCACAAGAAGCCAGAGTCCACCAGGGAACCAAGACATCAAAGAGATGACGAGTCTGCTGATGGTGCCACAGCATCAGTACCGTGAAGTGACGGGTTTAGTGTCTATAACTCACACGAGCGAGTCTCTACGCGATGTCGCATACAGGAGAAAATATCTTAACACGCCACAGTTAGCCGCAAAGTAATAAGACCGCGTTTAATAAATTATAAGTTACGATGAATTCAGACGCTTTGCCAGTGCCAGATGACTCTTTGCTGTTATAATGGAGCTGCAAGGTGCAAAAAGACTGACATCCTTATCGAAGCACATTTTTCCTACATAATTTTCTAAGTCTTCATTTTCCCATTTGTCAGCAGGTTGTACTAAACATTTCCATCAAATGTTTGCTATTTAACATCATGGCATGCCATGGCTATATAGGGGGGGGGGGGTTACGGTGACGTACGTTCCGTAAGACTTAAAATCGAATCCAGAGGCAAAAGCGGCGATGGGTGACTCACAAAGAGTGGCAGACGATGCGTGGAATTTGTAGACATGAGGTTTGAGCCATCGCCCCACTGGTGAACTTCTTCAGTGTGGGCAGAATCATCAGATGGCTCACAGCGAGCGAGAGACATGCAGAGCGCACACCTCTGGTAATATCTTCAGAGTAATGCTTTTATCCGAGCAAAGCAATTTGGATTAGTGCCCTTAAGAGACTCATTCGTGGGCTGAGCAGCTCACAAACTCGGAATATGAGGACAGGGCCAATGATTCATTGGTCTTTTTCACCGGGCCTCAAGCTGAATCTTGCGGTTATGATTTTTTGTCAGCATTTTGGGGAAGATGTGCATGTAAACACCTCAAGATTATAAATGTGTTCCCAGTTTAATTTAACAATTTTATGGTCAGCCTTTCAACATTTTGTTGTTGTTGTTGGAAAACGTGGTCTCAGAAAGGCGATGAGGGCGACTGCAGAGGCTCAGAGGAACCGGGCGAGTAGTTCCCCGACTCCGATGTCGTTTGGTCCTCGCTGGCAGTGGAGAGGCGGTTAGCACCGCCTGGCGCCGCTGCCGCGGCCTCCGCTACCGCCACTCCCCCCACCGCCCCGGCCACCCGGGGCAACCCGGGCTGGCGACGGCCCCTAAACACCTTCCCCTCCTTGTCGAGGGAAGTGGTCTGTCGGGAAGACCGAGAGAGAAAGAGGGCGGGAGGGAGAGCAGCAAGAGACACACGGAGAGGAGAGGATGGGGGAAGGAGCAGCCAAGGAGGTAATGCAGGCAGGGAGGAAAACGTCAAAGGTTTTGGGTGGATGGTGATAAAATGATTTGTGAACGGGGAGTTCGTGTTAGAGGGGCAGAGTTAGAACAACAAGAAATGTCAAGGACAAATAATGCAAATAAAGGTCAAAAAACAAAATTCAAAAAGAAAACAATCAAATGTGACAGCGAGTTGGTGCGAATTGATATAAAATGAAATAAAAGTAAACCGTATTCATAGTCACGTTATGAATATATTGGCAACAGTAACAAAAAAAACAATTTATATATAAAAATTTCAAACGTGAGAGGAAAAAATGCAAGGTTTGCGCATGGTAGAAGCGTGTCACGGACAGGTGTTAGTGAGGACCATCGGGGAAATGTTGTTAGGAGAGAATAAATCATGAGGGGGGAAAAAGGAAGGTGGCATGGGGGTGGACAGAAAGAGGGGGCAGAGAAAGGGGAGGAGGAAGGTGTTACAAGGAAATCCATGCAGAGATTCAGGCACAGAGGCCCACGGCGGCACGCACTGGCGCAACACTGCAGGTCGGCAAGGGGATAAATGATCGGTTATGAAATGATGAACCGGCCCAATTTTCACTGCTTCGTTTGTGTGTCTCAGACATGCTCATGGGGGACAAGCCTGGTTCCAAGGAGGACGCGCAGTCTTAAGTCCGACCCAAGCTGACCTCTTGTTAGCCTCCCATCACTCTCCGCACCTTCCACAGAGCCAAGCTATTCCATAACATGATGGGGTGAGCTACGTTGATAATTGAAATTGACAATCTATGGAATCTCAGGACCAGCTGCCTTACATTTCAACCATCAGATGTGTCATGATAATTAGAACTGAAAATGTATCGTCGCAAAACATGTCTGCAAGGGTTCCATTTCAGTAGCAGCTGTTTTGTCCACACAAACGCAGGGTTCATTGGCCAATATTCAGGAAGCCAAAATCCCATGTCAAGATTGATATCCCTTCATTAATAAATTGTCAGCTTTTAATCATCATGACATATGGTGTGTGTTGGTCAAGGGAAGAAGCGAGTCTGGTCGTTGTCATCTGGGTGCCGTTTTTATTGCAATACTAACGCGAAATCCAAAATGACCTCAAAGAAGACATTTTGTTGCCACTCGATTTTTGAGTGGCAAATCTGTTTGCCAGGCAATGCCCTGCCACTCTCAAAGTGGTGCTGAAGATTCAATTCCACGGGGCACACGTGGATATTGCTGAAATGACAAGCACGAACGCCAATGCATGGGGGGGGGGGGGGAGGCAATTCAAATTTAGTCAGTGGGCACCATCTGACATTCAACAAAATTATGCCAATCATAATCGTATTATTTGTTTAACTCGTCCACTAATGTCCCACCCAGACCAATACATGCCATTAATCTTTTAAACGCACTTACAACGAATTTATTTACAAATGTTTTTTCTGAGATGCGGTTCATTGTAACATATTGGTCTGGTTTACATCTGTTCCCTTCAATAATTCTATCGTGATTTATTTTTGCAATCCATTCTCTTGTTTTTATTATTTTCCGGTAATTTGGTGGCTGAGCTGAAGAACATCAGCACAGCCTCAAGGTGTGGAAAAGTCCTTGTAAAAAAAAAACATGGCTATAATACGGAACCAAGACCCACAGAGAATCTCATGAAAATGCCCATTATCAAAAATAGCAGTCACTTTTCAGCAAAAGACGCTGCTAACAGTGGCAATTTAAATGCATATGCTCTGAGCTGAGTGAGGACCGTAGCAACACAGTGCTCATAGAAATCCCCACTCACTGTGGATGGTTTAAGATTTTCTGCCAGACAATTACAATTGTTTTACATGTAAATAAACAAAAATCTACGTTCTGGGATTTACAGTGATGTGATATAAAACAACAAAGGGGCCTTTTTGTCGTATTACACCATTGGTTTTTTTTTTTTGTCAGGGAGGAGCTGGGGTGAGAGTCGGTGGACACATACATACCATTGTGTGGGGATCTAACAAGAAGATTAACCAGTCACAGGTGATGGGTGGGGTACGGTTAGGGGAGGGGATTTGGGAGAGGACAAGGGACAGACACAAATCACTGCGTCAAGGCTGCGAGGGACAACGACCGACGATTAGACACTGACAGACAAGCAGCCGGGGTGAAACGCTGAAAAGGAAAACAGATTTGAGTTACCAACGACGCACGGCACACACTCCTCCCACTTTGACAATGTCTGACAAGGTGGCCGGGAAACACGGGTGTCAGAGATACTGAGCTGGCCCAACGGAGATCCTGGGTTTGAATCTGGGTTTCAGGTGCCTATGATTAAATCAGGCTCAGTCAAGTGAGGCAAGATGATGCTCTCAGCTTGGAGAGGAGCTCCATCAAACATCCTGATCTCAAACATCATGTAAGCTCAGCAGGGTGGAGCTTGGATGGGCGATTTTTTTTAATCCCATGTAAGCTCAACAGGTTTGAGCCTGGTTGGTACTTTGATGGGCGACTATTTTTAAATCCCATGTTAGAGGCCGTGGGTTGTAAGCTGGCCAGATGGCAGTAAGCAATTTACTCTTCAATCTATCTGTGTGAATATGTGAATGCTATTCCACCTTGTATGTGTGGATTTTCTCCAGGCACTCCAGTTTCCTCAGACATGCCAAAAACTCATTATATGAATTGGCCAAACATCTTAATGCATGACCCTCCTGAAAAAATATATTCTTCAAACTCAGAGGAGCTTTCCTGTATGAATAGAGGGGGCATTAAATGCAGGGATCAATTCAAAATAAAACTGACTGACACGACATGGAGTATTTTGACGGGATAGCAGCGCCAGTTGCTGCTGATGACGAGAAAATCACGGCAAAAAAAGACAAATTATGAAAATAGGCGTTGTACATTTCTATATGCCGGCGAGACAAATGACCATTGCTATAGCAGAGGTAATGATGAACACACAGACACATTTGCACCGAGTTTGAATTCACCACTCGGCTTCACTCGCTGGGGTTTGGGGGTTGTTTGGGCCCTCCGCCTAGGGCCACTAATAATGGCCCTTTGCGTGTCTATACGCGTACAATGATTCTGCTCGGCGACTCTTATTGATAAAATCGTATTTTAACCGACACCTGGCTTCTACGAGTTGTTATTAGCTCAAAGCTGTTTGTCACTGAGAGTGCCTGTGGTGTCTCACACGGCTATACCAGGTGTAGTCACAAGGGGGCAGGCAATACACACATACGCACACTATAGCAACATACGCACACGCGCTATTAACAATGATTCCTTATAGATTTATGCAGTACAAACAAACCTCGCATTCCCACGTCAATGATTTATCATATAGGTTTCCCTCACTTTATGCGGGTTAGGTTTGTGCGATTTCGCATACATATGCGACTCATCCATTTCTACACAAAAGTCACTCTCTGAGGTTTGAATTCACTCCACATGCGGCTATGCGATCAGACATGGGACAATATTGTGTGTTTTGTGTGTACTGTTTGTACTGTGTGTGTCCTGTATGCGCCAGTCGGCAGGCAGTCGTCTCGTGAAGTTCCGCTTTGTGTGCCTTTTTTTTAACGCATCGACCGCACAAAGCGAGGAGAAAGCTGTACAATAATCACTGTGTGTGTTGTATTGAAACGGTCAATTGCACAGTAACAGAATTACAGCACAAGACACAAAACCTGAGAATCGTGGGCAGGTCAATGTCACGTCCCATACATCTACCCTCTCTCTCACCTGAAGACGATTGCTTGTGTTGCGATCGAAACGTCGTGATATTTTTGTATTATTTTTCTATCTACGCGACTTTACCGAAAGACCTATAGAATATCTACATATCTCTTGTAATTTCATGGCCACGCAAACACCCACATGTATACTGCATATAAAATAGTTTTAAAACACGATAGCGCCAATGGATTCCCCCTCATTTACAAATGGCATGTAAATGGTACAAATGGTATGTTTGGCAAAATTATAAGATTCACACAATTGTCCGTGTTGTATTTGTAGTTTAATCAGTTTCAGCCTCGATGTGTCTATGCCTCTGTGCATGCATGCGAACACACATTTGTTTCGCAAAGTAACACAATCTTCATCTATATCGGTAAGTCGGCTCAAGTCTCCAATTAATCATGTAAATTTTGTGTGGCCACCCCCACTCTGAATCCCTCCCCACTCCCTGTGAAAGCAGACGCTGCTCTGTGCGGCGTTGAGGCCCTTATGTGGACTCTTCCTCCACATCCTGATCTTTCATGACCCTTTCGTCCCGTTTCTACATTCTATTTCCATTCTATTCCTCTTATTTACCATTCTTCTCTTTTCCCTTTCTCCAAATATGACCTCCATGCCTCTACTCCCCTTCCCGTGGTGTGCCACAGGTAAAACGTTGCTAGTGCCCACAAAAAGGATCGCCTTCTTAGTATTTAGAAAGGGGCGCACTGGCAATAGTGTGGATTCACAGGGTTTGCCTTTAGACTATAGGGCCACGTGCTGTTAGTGAGCACGCATACCCAAAACAAAAACAGAGTAGACAATGATTTAACATATAAAAACAATAATCGCTCAACTAATCACTCAACTGAATTAAGTAGGCCATCTCCTGCAATAAAAAATGCATTTTGACTTAATAACAAGAAATCACATTTATATTGCACTTTTAATTGAAGAACCACAATCAAAATATTAATCATACAGCATTGAACCATTTAGCACATAGGATTCTTATAGCGGTACCCCGGGGTATCAAATAATACTAAATGGCCGGGACAACTGAATATGTTATTTCTGAAACACTATTTTTTCCAGGGGTGTACTTAACTCCGCGACTGGGGTACAATTAATCCGAAATCAGTGCTACTCCACGATGTCGAAACGCCAAACATTAGCATAAAAAAATCCGTTATCGAAAATTTAAACTTTGAATAGTGCATCGAGTACAGCTCGTCGAGATGAGTCGATTGCCGCATCGCCGACCATCAACAGACTAAAAATGACTGCAACACGGACATTATGCGAGAGCTGTGGTACTATGGTACCTCGGGGTCCCGCCATAAGGTTCATATCCTGTTCTCGTGCATCATCCTACCACACTCAAATATTAGTTATACAGCAAATAAATATTCACCAAACATTCCTTATTCATAAGCAATGGCCGTTTTGAATACCATTTAAAAAGAGTAATGTTTTGAGGCTAAGGGGATGTGTTGGAAGATGGTTCCATGATATTTAACAAAAGCTCTGTTACTGGTGCTAGCCAGAAGGGTTGGCGGGGATACCAGGAGACAGGAGAATCCGCTGGTTGTAGTACCCGAGATCGGTGCAAGGAGGTGCAAAGTAGTGGAAGGAGAGGGCAGTGAAGCAAAAACCGTTATTGTACCATGCTCCCATGCCCCCACCATCTATGCTCCATGCTTTGACTAACTTCACTGACCAGTGTCATGAATCCTGGTAAAAAAAAACTTCCGCGACCCGCACGGCGTGGAAAGTGGATGCGCATAGGGCAATACATATGCACGTACAAGGAGGTGCACGCCTCATTATTCACACGTGAAGGTTACATTTAGAGTTTCTTCTCTTAAAAAATATGCACGGCCGCCATCCTCGGGCCAGCACAGCGGCGCGTGGGGCTTACGGTAATGACGGCGATTCCGGCGCTCGAGAGCCCACCCGCTTTGCCCGCGTTGAAGTGCTTCTCGATCTTCCCTTTGACCGACATCCTCATGTCCTCGTCCTGCGCCACGTCATCCTGCGAGCAACACGCGCATGCCTCACGTCGTCGCGCGATCACGGGGCCTCGACAGCGGGTGGGTGGGCGGTGTCCCGCCGCCATCCGTTACATCTCGGTGATCTGCTGAAACCGTATGCTGCCCCTGTCCAGCAACTTTGATCCACCAAATTCGGGCACCTGAGCGTATCTTCGACAAATCTGCGTTCAGTGGGTGATAGAGCTTTCAGTAGTCAGGCGACTCATTTGTGGAATGTCTTGCCCCAGTCTGTTCGGGACGCTCTGCTAGTCAAGGTTTTTAGGGCTTGTCTGAAAACACGTAAATTTCTCTTGCTATCCATCTGTGGAGTGTTGTTTTCCTTTTAGTTTTAATGTTCAGGGTTTTTACTGGGATTGTGTTGTAAAGCGCTGTGAAAGAAGTTCAACATACGTACATACATCACGTTTCGTTCACGTATTTGTTTCAATTGCTCAGGCTTAGAGGAAGGAAAGACCTTGTCGTGTTCGTCGTTAAAAACACTGTTTTACGAAATTGAAACAGTAGTCTCTTGATTATCCGGGGGAATTTAAACCTACATTTGCCAAAAAATAAAAAAGTACCTAAAATATTACTTCATTGGAAAACACATTGCAGCAACCACTGCCTCTACTTGTTGAATTGAATGGGGAGGAGGTGTTAGCCAGGATACAACAATAACAATGGACAATGGTAAGTGACTCTGTGCGTGTATCAGTGTATGTGGCCAGGGGGAATGGTGGTAGAGTGGTTTGCACCCTGAGCTACAATACGAGTGACCTGGACTTAATTCTTGTTCACACACAATAGCTGTATCTGAGCCAAGCCCTGGCCCGATTTAGATGATCTCAGCATGAAATGAGTATAAAATAACAAAAAATCACGCTTAGCGTGGCTTCTTCCACTCCAGCGCTGTCCTCCAGACAGTCTCGTCCCTTCACCTGATGAAGGCCGCTTGTGTTGTGGCCGAAACGTCGTGATTTTTTGTTATTTTATTTTCACCTACGTGACTTTACCCAATAGAACCAAAGAGTATGGATCCTAGCAGTCACGAAAGCTTTAAATCTAGAAATGAAATGAGTACATAGCATGGTGTGGTCATTTTGGAAGACATAGGCAGCGAGGCACGGTGATAGCCGTAACTGCCTCTTCCTGTGCTGTGCAAGCATTAATGTGTGCTCACTAACAGCAGTTGCCCAGTCAACATCTAAATAAAAACTGAAAAAGCTGAGCTCAAAAAGCTGATGAGACTCGGAAAGTCAAGACCAATCCAATTGCTTGCTTTGGGAACGTCTGGAAAGCCAACAGGCCAGTGGACAAAAGTATATATATGTATTTAGAGACACAGAAGATAATTCTGATAATATACTTTTCAAGATCTAATCTAGGAGTGCACGAGGGAGCTGCACTCACCGCCACCCATGGGTGAGCCAACACCTGCTCAGCGGAGAACCGTTTATCCACGTCCACCTGCAGCATCCGAGAGATGAGCTCCTGCAGGGAGACACGCATACATAGCCCGCCACCCGGGAATCATTATCGCCAGGTCACATATATCACACCCACACACAACAGAAAAACCACCCCCACCCAGCTCGTATAGCCTGCCCAGGCTTTTGGGAACAAGTGCTGTTAGCGAGTACCCTACGAAGGACGGCATGGCACGAGGAGGTGAGTGGCCAGCACCACGCCTGGCTGCCTTTGTCTCTCCAATGCTGATGTTTATACACCGAACCAGGTACTCATTTAAGACTGCGTATACCGAGGACAGGCCCAGGCCCGGTTCAAATATCTGCCACTGTTATTGGTCGTGAGCAGCAATCGAACCCGGTCCGCTAGGTTCGTAGCGCAGTTAACTAATCACTTTACTACTGCTCCCCACACATATTTCACGCAAAAATACACACACACAGGCGCACACACAGAGTAAAAGTGTGCTATACAAACCTTAGCAGTGAGTGAGATGTTATCCCAGTACGGGGATGGAAAGTCCAGCTGCCCCACCAGGATCTGATCAAAGAGGGCCTCCTGATCATCGCCATCACTCCTGCACACGGCACATCACCATCATCATCAACACCACAAGGCCACAATACACTTTTATCAGCAGGACACACAATTCCTCGATGGCATGTACATATACAGCCCTTATGTCAATCCACTGCTGGATGAGGGCCTTGCCAAGATCGTGCAGATCATAGGGATTTGACCATACTTCACCATGCTGCCAGTACCGGATTAAGCCAGTGCGGGGCCTGTAGCACATGTTATAAAGGGGCCCTAAGTAAAAAAAAAACACGTAAATATTAAAACACATAAATGTTTAACTTGCATAGCAAAGTAATTGTATTTTTTCATTTGCTATACAGCCAGATAATATTACAAATCGCTAACCTTAAACACCCAGTCGTTCATAAAAGTTGAAGGCAGTATCGTACTATAGTTATAGAGCACGTGCAGAATCACTGAACCGGAATTGATAGCTTGAGAGCATTCAGCGTGGGGCCCTTGAAAGTACGGGGCCCGTAGCATATGCTACTTTTGCTGCTCGGATAATCCGGAACTGCATGCTGCACAGTGTGGGTTGGTGAAGGCAGGGAGCATAGACGTGGGAGCAAAGTACAGCACAACAATGGATTTTTATGCAGCCAACGAACTGCTGCCCAGACAGGATATGTTCACATTACAATTTTAAAGATTTATTTTGACTTAAGCCTGGGAAGGATTACTACATTTTACTGTGGCATTAAATTATGCACATTATAATGTATTATATAGTATACTGAGAAAGAGTGACTGGTTGAGCTTGTGAAAACATACTGCTAATTAGTCCTGAAGTAACACTTGAGGTGTAAATTATTGTTAACTGTGAACTACATTCTTGTTAAATCTTGACTTAAAGCTTTCGTGACTGCAGGAATTCATATTCTTGGGTCTTTCGGTAAAGCCACGTAGAAAAATAATAATACAAATAATCACGACATTTCGATCGCAACACAAACAATCGTCATATATATTCTCAGCAGCTCTCCAGCGATATTTCTCACCTTATGACGATTGCTTGAGTTGCGATCGAAACATCGTGATAATTTGTATTATTTTTCTACGTGGCTTTACCGAAGTAACATTCTTGTTACTTGAAATAGCTTTTCATAATTAAAAGTGATATTAAGTAATGTTGTGTTTTTTCATATACAAGTAAATTATAATCTTAGTATCTTCACGAATATCTATGTGTTTTAAATCCCGATGAAAGCCATTTCTTTTACAAACCCTAGGTATGCACTACGTTGAACTTCTTTCGCAACGTATGTAGCCAACCGTGCTAATCAGAGGTGCAAACCCGAGCATGATAGTGTCAATGAAAAAGATCACGATGATGTAAACAAGGATAATGACGATGATGGTGCAAGGCTGTACTGACGCTCGGAAAGGAGGGAAGCCACACAGGAGGATATAGGCTATGACTCCGGCTGCCCAGATGTCCACCTTGAGGCCGTAACTGCGGGGAAGAGGGCAGACGAACGTTAGGTCACAAACGCTGAGGTGTAAAGGCCCTGGGCTTAGAAAACACACAACCCACATGGCGGCGTGAGACCTGGTGTCATGATGAGGTCAAATTCAAACTCCCTCTGACTTGAGGATTCAGCTGAAGGTGCCCGCACTTATTCAGAATGGCGCACGAGGAACCGTGACCCGTGCACCGCGCCGCCGAGTTCACGATCGAAAAAGGATCGTCTGTTTTGTGACATTTGTACGCATTACAATTTTTTTCATTCTCATTATTAAATTATCAAACGTCAAGGTCGCCTGGAATAATAGCATGGTTTACTTAATGTTGCGGCGAAAATTAGCAGACTATACTAATTACAATTCACATCTGCTAGGTCTGTGCAGTGGCTATAATGCATGCCTTAGGGTAACATAACAAACCGTCATGAATGCCCTTGTGCCCTTTTGCCAATTTAAAGTGGCATTGTTTGGTTAAAAAATCAGAGTTGTACTGCATGAGATGTAAGCTCTCGAAGAAAAGAAAAAAGGAGGATTTAGCATAAGTTAAAAAAATTAAGAAGCTGATTTTGAGTGTAAAACTTAATTTACAGAAACATGATGCCACGTTATAAAGAGCGGATGTGGTGCTTCAACGGCATCATTACGGTACACCTACTGTGCTTTCAAATGCTCTCTTTTCCACGAGCAAAGCTCCAAGCAAAAGCCAGAAGGCTCGGAAGGCACAACCTAGACGTGCTTCTACAAGATAAGAAGCTAAAAGCCATACAAGAGAGCGACGACACAAGAGAGCGACACGAGAGAGGCAAGAGAGAGACACGAGAGAGAGACACGAGAGAGACGAGAGAGAGACACGAGAGAGAGACACGAGAGAGAGACACGAGAGAGCGACAAGAGAGAGAGACACGAGAGAGCGACACAAGAGAGAGACAAGAGAGACAAGAGAGAGAGAGACAAGAGAGAGAGAGACACGAGAGACACAAGAGAGAGACACGAGAGAGAGACACGAGAGAGAGACACGAGAGAGAGACGAGAGAGAGACACGAGACAAGAGAGAGAGAGACAAGAGAGAGATGAGAGAGAGACACGAGAGAGAGGCACAAGAGAGACAAGAGAGAGAGACAAGAGAGAGAGACACGAGAGAGAGACAAGAGAGAGAGACACGAGAGAGAGACAAAAGAGAGAGACAAGAGAGAGCGACACGAGAGAGAGACAAGAGAGAGAGACACGAGAGAGAGACACGAGAGAGAGACACGAGAGAGAGACACGAGAGAGACACGAGAGAGACAAGAGAGAGACACGAGAGAGAGACAAGAGAGAGACAAGAGAGAGCGACAAGAGAGAGACAAGAGAGAGAGACACGACAGAGAGACACGAGAGAGAGACACGAGAGAGCGACACGAGAGACACAAGAGAGAGACAAGAGAGAGAGAGAGACACGACAGAGAGACACGAGAGAGCGACACAAGAGAGAGACAAGAGAGAGAGACACGAGAGAGTGACACAAGAGAGAGACAAGAGAGGGAGACAAGAGAGAGACAAGAGAGAGACACGAGAGAGAGACACGCAAGAGAGACAAGAGAGAGAGACACGAGAGAGAGAGACAAGAGAGAGAGACACAAGAGAGAGACACGAGAGAGAGACACGAGAGAGAGACAAGAGAGAGAGAGACAAGAGAGAGACACGAGAGAGAGACAAGAGAGAGACACGAGAGAGAGACACGAGAGAGAGACACAACAGAGAGACAAGAGAGAGAGACACGAGAGAGCGACACAAGAGAGAGACAAGAGAGAGAGACACGAGAGAGAGACACGAAAGAGCGAGACAAGACAGCGACACGAGAGAGAGAGACACGAGAGAGAGACAAGACAGCGACACGAGGGCGTGCTGGCGAGACGGTCGCACCCGGACTCGGCAATGATCTCGGGCGCGACGTAGGTCGGCGTGCCGCACACGGTGTAGAGGGGGCCGTGCACCACCGTGGCCAGGCCAAAGTCCCCCAGCTTCAGAGACTTGCTGCCGTCTTCGTACTCGCACACCTGCGGCACACACCGGTGGCAGGCGGGTGGTGGCATGGGCAGCGCAACGGCACAGCACAGCTCCGGGTGCCTAAATCGAAGGCGCAGCCCTGTGATTTCTTGTTGACGCCACCGCTGGCAGAAGGGCCTCCACTAGAGGGAGCTCTAAAGAGATGGCCCTCCCCGGCATTGGACGTTGCCCTCCCTCATTGTAAAACGGTGGCACCGCTCCAGGAATGGCTCTCGCTGTGGCCTCAGCTGCTCGTCATGCGTCTATCCCAGTCTACCAGTACCTTGGATATTATTCAGTGGGAAACTAAGCCCTTTTGGTGCAGGATGTACGTATGTTGAACTTCTTTTGCACCGTACGTAGCCAAACGTGCTGATCGGAGGTGCGGGGAAGGACAAAAAACTAAACACAAAGATCAGTTCTAAAGAAATTAGTTTTCAATCTAAAATAGATGCCAGCACGTACCAGCAGGTTCTCGGGCTTGATGTCGCGGTGCGTGATGTTGAGCGCATGCAGGTAAGCCACAGCGCTGGCCAGGTTGTAGAGCATTCCACTGGCGTCGCGTTCCGTGTACTTTGTGGACGACGTGATGGCGTCAAAGAGGTCCCCGCCCTGCGAACACGCGGAGCCCGCACGCCACTCGCCGGCTGTAACCTCACTCGCTGCGCCCACGTGCGATGGAATATGTTGAAGAGGTCAAGGTGCAGCGATGCAATTTCTCGCTCGTGCCACTGCTGGCTGAAGGGGCTTCCACGAGATGCAGCTATAGAGAGGCTCTCTAAGAGGGTATTTTGCCTACTCCTCCATGCCAGACATCTTGAAAAAGTATGGAGAACCCACAGTTTACCCAACCAATAGACTAACTGTGTTGTACCCATTTATACTGCTGGAATGGATTATTCCATTTCGGACACTTCAACATTTTGGTTTGATTGATATACAATTAACAATCTGTGCAGGATATTAACATTGCTAAAAACGTATTTTTAAGTAACTTCATAAATAATTCTGTGATGTCATTTTCTGGGGCTGTTTTCTGACGTATGGATCGTAGCTGCCAAGTTCGAAGTGAAAATCTATGAATGTACGTTGAATTTCTTTCGCACCGTACATAGCCAACCGTGCTAATCGGAGGTAAAACGTCTTCATCTCATGACATGATCTAGATAGCACAACTGGAAAATAACTGGGGGTGAACAAAATATATTTAGATTTCCTTAAATTCAAAAATGGAACAGGCCAACCAGCCCAAATGGGGCCCTACTGCAAATAAGTTTTGAGGCTCATAGAGGTACTTTTGATTAAACCCTATTTACCGGGACGCACTCCGACTAAGGATGTATTGTCGATATTGTTCATACTAAAATGGTAATATGAATAAACAGACCTAATGTTTTTTGTGAATAAATAACGTCACGCATATTTAATTCATAGGGCCCTCTTGGAGTTTTGGGGCCTGGATAGATGTCCCCTTCGCCTCCGCTTAAATGAAGCCCTGGGCGCACCTTGACGAGCTCCATAACCATGTAGAGTTCGGATGGTGTGTCCACCTCCTCGACGAGCAGGATGATGTTGGGGTGCTTGACGCGCCGCAGGATGGACACCTCGCTCTCGATCATGTGCTCCTGGGGGCGGGGGGGATGACGTTGACGCCGCCATAGTCAAATTTGGCTGTGATGCGGCGACGCCTCAGAACGGCGTCGCGCGAATGACCGCGTCAAAGCGTTCAGTTGGCGTGCGAAAACGAGTGGCCGGGTTGCGCAAAAATACTCAGCTCCAAGGAGGCTTGATAACCTGTGCCATGTGACATTTCATGTCGTATGTCCCTACCCCTCATGAATTTCTAAAGAAATTGACCACAAGTGAGACTGGGACTAACAGTGGTCGGGTTTTTAATTCGAGGCGGGCACTTCTATTTCCAGAGCACTCGCAAACAATTCACGACCGTGTCTTTGCAGCTGCGCTAGAATCCGTTGCCATGAACACTTACAGCCCTTCTGTCAATCCAATCTTGGGTGAGGCCCTCCCCATGGCACACAAGTCGTAGCAGTTATTTAACCTGACTACATCACACTCGTCAATGCAGGTTGGTAAAGGCGGGAAGCATTAACATTCGAGCACAGCACAGTACACCAATTGAGTTTGCTGCGATGCCTCATACTGACAACATAGCCCCACAACATAGCCCCGCAACAGGCTATAGAGAACCTGTATTATGTTTAACATGTAGGCTCCACCACCAGACACGGCCAATCAGCAAAAAAGTGTCACGTTGACAAAAGACAAAGAGTTCACTCCTTTAGCCCACCGGTGTGTTGAACAGTGAATCCACAACATTTACAGTTTGAGTACGACGTTTCGCTGGTAATTACATCCAGCATCATCGGGCAATTCGTCAGAATGGTGAAGCCCTCACTTGCTCCCGGTCTTAAATAGAGCAGCAGGGTGACGTCATCATTTAATTAATTCAGGTGCAGTAATTTGAGGCGGAGGGGGAGTATTGTAGTAATATAATCGATTGGTAATCAGTCAATGGTTATGATTAGTAATGAGTTGTAGATGAGTAATTAGTTGTAATGCGTGTCATTGTGATTATATGCTACGTTAGTAATCAGTTAATTAGTATGTGTTTCCCCTATAAGGAATTGTAATATGTATTATTTAATAATACGCTTCCAGGCTGCACTAAGCCTGTAGCTGTCAGAGTGATTAAAGTTATTTCTATTTCTCTCAATTTCAATGGATTCTCTAATTAGTCTTTGCCAGTAATAATTAGTTTTACACAACAATCAACGTTATCAAAATCAATTGAGTGTCCTTGTTGACAAGCATGTTCTGCCACTGCCGACAGTTGTGTTTGAGATAATTTAATATTTCTTAGTTTTTTTAGTCCTATAGGGGAAACACATACTAATTAACTGATTACTAACGTAGCATATAATCACAATGACACACATTACAACCAATTACTAATCTACAACTCATTACTAATCATAACCATTGACTGATTACCAATCGATTATATAATTACAATACCCCCCCCCCTCCACCTCAAATCACTGCACCTGAATGAGTTAAATGATGACGTCACCCTGCTGCTCTATTTAAGACCGGGAACAAGTGAGGGCTTCACCATTCTGGCGAATTGCCCGATGATGCTGGATGTTATTACCAGCGAAACGTCGTACTCAAAAACTGTAAATGTTGTGGATTCACTCTTCAACACACCGGTGGGCTAAAGTAGTGAACTATTTGTCTTTTGTCAATGTGACACCGTTTTGCTGATTGGCCGTGTCGGGTGGTGGAGGGTTACGACACATTTATAAAGAACGCGACCTAACCCAAAAACCTTTATTATGAACCTGTATTATGCACGGTGGTCACCCATCGAAGTTGCACGTGCTGTACATATAAAGATGGACTGAGTAAAACATCTAAGTGACCCCATCATTACACAGGCACAGGGAAGTACTTATTTTTGTCGATAGTCCAAATTAAGTGGTTAAAATTCCACATTCCTATGGCTGGTACCAGTCCAATCATAGTACAACCACTTTTGTTGACTTCCCACTGATTGGTGCCTGGATCTTATCTATGTGGTGTTGAATCCATTAACACCAGAGGAACGATGATGACAATTGGGCTGAGATGACATTGCCAGGGAATCTGAACTCATAATTTTACGACTGGGGTCATGCTGCTCTCCCGACTGAGCAACGTCCCAACCCCATGCTGAACATGCAAGCGCAATCTCAGAGATATACCGTGCAAACACAAGCAAATGCTTACCTTCCCCTTACACTTTGCTTTGTCAATGATTTTCAGGGCATATTCGTGTCCAGAGGATCTGCACAGAACACAAACATTGTGCATCATTCATCATCATTACATCATTAACTCAACACATCAGGCGTGTTATTTACAGTGGGAGACAGAGACGCATCCATCATGGCACTCGGTACCATTCCCAACGATCGCTCATAAACGTTCCTTATAGCCAAGCACACGAGCCGGTGGTGCGGCATGCAATGGAACATTACCCTGAACGACCAGCAGAGTGCGCTCAATGCTCACCGCACTCACCCTTGACTATCCCTCGCAGAACAAGATTTGGGTTGCTTATATGAAACCAAAGTAAATCGAAAAACATTTGAAAAATAAAACAAGCTCATATCATATTCTTGGTTCTTTCGGTAAAGTCACGTAGACGGGAAACAATAAAATAATAAAAATATAATACAATAAAATTCTCACGACGTTTCGACTGCAACACAAGCAATCATCATCAGGCGTGTTGCAGTCAAAGCGTCGTGAGAATTTTATTGTTTTATATTTGTATTATTTTATTGTTTCCCTTCTACGTGACTTTACCGAAAGAACCAAGAATATGAATCCTTGCAGTCACAAAATCTTTAAATGAAAAAATTTAAGCTCATATCAATAAATAAATGAAGCGAACAAACTAATTTCACACAAAACAACGTACAGCTCCTTTGTCAATGGATTAGGGCCTCCACATGCCACGTCGGAAGTGGGAGTTATATGACCATACTTCACCACACCAATGAGTGCGAGTTGGTGAAGGCACAAAACAAAGATGTTGGGGCATGTTACGGCAAATAACAGATTTTTCTGCACTTCCCTCTGCTGACAAAAACATAACCGCGAATTTAGCTTTTGCTTCTCTGTTTATTCATCTCGCCAGTTGGGACGCACAAGGTTGCGGCTAACGACAGCAAAGGACCGAGCGATTTTTTTATTAGCACTGCAGCCGATGTGAGGGATTAACGGTTGCGTCACCGGCGCCAATTCGACCCCGGTGGGAGCCCCCGTGGGAGCCGTGTGCCGCCTCCACTCACCGCTCGATGCACTCCCGCACCACCGCAAAGTTTCCGTCACCGATCACCTTGCCGATTTTGTACTTGGCCGTGATTGCCGATGGAGGGTGGAACTTTCCTCCATTAATAACTGGGGTTGGGGTGGAGGAATAACAAAGAATTGAAACCTCCGTGCCTCCGATTAGCACGGTTGGCTACGTAAAGTGCGCGAAAGAAGTCACATGGGACTACCTGTCTACCTTCAACCGTCTTCATAGCCCAGATTTGAAGAGGGTGAAGTGGAAGATGGCGGCATTCACTTGACTAATGCCATCAACACATTTATCAATGATCTCGTGGTCCACAGAGCAACAACTAATCCATGCCTTAGTGCGGTTGCACCACCTACACACTCAATAGCAAAGCAATGTATGTATTTTGAACTTCTTTCACACTGTACTTAGCCAACCGTGCTAATCGGAGGTGTCATGGTTATATAACACTGATAAAAGAAAATCGTCAAATAAATACTTATTGAGCGAGTTCGCAACTACAAATATATTGCACCAAGGGGGGACGTGTAGAAATGGCACGAACTAACATTGGTCAAACGTGGAATTTTAAATGTGAAGTGGAATAGACTCTCAAAAACTGATAAAAACTTAGTGGCTCCCTCAAGACGTTCACGTTTCAGAAAAGAGGCCAAGATGACATATTATTAAACAAAAATGTTTTAAGACATCAAACAGAAAAATGCCGTGGGCTTCAATTACACGATAAAAATGTTGGTTTGGCCAAGATCTTGCAGGAACGTAATATAAGGTTTACATCACACCTGATATGTGCACCATACCTGATGCGCCTCTATGTCCCCCAATACATGGGCGCACCATCAGTGGCACTAGTACACGTACTGTACGTTCACACCTGGAACTTGGTTCTCTCATCATTGTTAATTGGCTATAAACTTCACAACAAAATGTGCACCGCATGTTAGTAAAATTGTTTATAAGCTTTTTCCTGTTTCTGACCAAAAGTATGAAAAGTCAGATCATCCGTCTACATCTGACACTCTGGTACATTACGAGTGTCTCTCATCTATCAAGAATGGTGGACAAAGTATTTATGAATTACAGTAACAATTGGTTGCCATATTGTGCCCAAGTGAAGTCACTTAATGATAACACTAATGGTGATCCACACAAATTAAAGTGTCTAAAACATACATCTGCAATTGTGGAACTGCCCAAACGTAGCTTCCGTAGACATTTTATTTTTGAGCGAACGTGCAGAAGCCAGGATTGTCGCGGCTCTCACGGCAGACTCGGACTCACCGGAGCCCTCGGGGCTGGGCCCATTGAGGGAGTCGTCCGGCTCGGTTCCCCGCGGGGAGGCAAGGGACGAGTGAGACCCGCTGTAAGACGGGCTCTGCCGCCCGTCAGAGGAGGAAAAAGAGAACAAGAGTCATCATCAGCCATGATCTTCTTTCACTGTGCTTTCAAATGCGCTTCTGGTGGCTGTCTGGAACGCTCTTACTTCCGATATTAGGAAGCCACTGGAGCTATGCACTTTTAAATAATCTACATTGAAAACTATTTATTCAGAACTGCTTTTTGTGTTTAGTTTGTTGTCCTTCCCCCGCACCTCCGATTAGCACGGTTGCTTACATGCAGTGCGAAAAGAATTCAGCATACATACATACTTTAAGCATCTTGGTATGTTGCTTTTGTGTTATATTCAGTTCAGCTGGCTGTGATTTTTTTTTTGGGCTGTACCACGTGTTGTTCTGCACGATATTCGGCACAATCTTCCCACGCTTCACTCCCAGAGTGCCGAGCGAAACGATTGACAGCGTGCCGAACAATACACGGCACAACGCGAAAACACATCAGACAGCACTACAGCAAAACAGCGACAACCTACGCAGTCACATTTAGTTCAGCTTTCCAAAAACAATGCAATCTGCTCCAGTCCATCTTTGTTTAAAAATGTTGTTTTATCTCGGTATGCCTTCAATGAATCCCGTGGGTACAGATGATCCGATGGGTTTTAAAGTTGTGCCCCTGTGACAAATATCTTCAACTGTTTTGAAATACAAAATGCCTTTTTTTGCCCATATATTCATCCTCAATGCAACTTTGCAGCCTTCTATACTGACTAAAGTTATTCAATAATTTAATGGACATAATTCATATTTACCAGCAGTCAAACCATTTCTCGAATGATAAGGAGGAAGCACCATAGGTCACATCCGAAGAGGTAAATTCTGCCCTTCGCATTACAAAAAAAATAAAAAGCTCCTGAACCAGATGGGATAACTGTGGACATCGTAAAATTAGCGGGACCAGCTGTCGGAATAAAAAGGAGACAGCCAATTGCGCACGTTAACATATAATAATATACCTCAATAGCTGAAAGAAGAACGATCATTATTCCGTTCAAGGAGACGCAAAGGTGACATGAAAATTGGCAGAACAAGCACTGTAACTTCCTATCATGTGTATATAAATTGTTGACGAAGATCGTCATTAACAGGATGGACAATTAAGAGGCCAGCCGATCACTTGAACAAAGTTGGATTTAGAAAGGGTTTGTTTTTAAAACCGTCAACCACATACATACTACAAATCAGATTGTATAAATGACAAATGAGTATCAAACACTAAAATGCATGTGTAGATTAGGATAGGACAATTTGACTTGGTGAATAATGATGCAGTCATCCAAACTCTTACAAACCGGGACCTCAATGAAAAATAAATAATCTTAGAAATTATTAAGAATCTCAGGCTGGCCCATGACAACAAAGTCATTATAACAACCAATAGAAATGAATGAGCTCTAAACATATCAAACAGTAATAGAGTAAACGGCATTGTGTACCCCTATATTTTATTAAATATATCAGCCATGACGAATCCACTGCTGGATGACAGCCTTCCCAAGCTGGCACCATCTCTTGTGATGTAATAATCCACCCAGGACCTACACTCGAGTTGATTTCATCAATCCATCTCCTCGATCTCCACCGTCTCGGACGAGTTAATTTCCTTGGCTGCCACTTGGCTGTCGTGATTCTTGACCATCGGCAAAATGTAAACTGAAGATAATTTATGGTGAATTGTGAATACTACCAGGGCCAATGCTGCCGGCATAATCTATACATTGCATGAATATCCAGCTTCATCTCTTCCCTCGACCCCCCCCTTGCTTCACTCCATTGCGGATCAGCGTGGAGCTGGGCTGGGTGCGGCAGCCTGCGTTGATTTACTGCTCGGGAGCCCTGAACGTGGTTGGAATGCTAAATCACTGTGGTGAGAGTGCATGGAGGCACGGCCTATTCAACGAGCCCGCATTTCCATAACACCCACTGCGCTCTAGGACGGAGCAGCATGTACCAATGTTCATCTGCTGGTGATTTTACTCATGAGTCATTGAATTTTAAGACACCCAAAAACACCCCTCATCTAAAAATAACAATAATTTCATGGTGTATGATCACTGCTGTTGTTTCAATGGTTTTGGCCAGAAACGGGCGTGCGTGGCTTGGTGGCTGAGGCAACCTGCTCTCATCGCAGTGCAGAGTTTCGGTCGAAAGTATGAAATCGTCGGGAAAACCATAAACTGGACTGAAAAATTGCAGCTTTAAACCGACAAGTCCTAATTTTAAATCCCTCCTGCTGTCGAGGGCGTAAGAGTGCACACACACGCGTGCGCGTCACACAAATTGAGACGCCAGTTTATAAAAAAAAAAAACTGCACCACTAAGCTCTTGCTAATTGCAAAGCACCACATTTTTTCTGCGTGGACAGACTGGAAGTAATTTATTGGTCCCCGATAAGGGTGGTTGAGAGCGGATGGGGGGGGGGGGGAAGGATGGGGTAGGGGGGTGAGGATGTAATTCACAGCATGAAGATACCATTCCAGAGGGGCGGGCAGGTTGGGACTGCACGCCAACCCCCTGCGCAAAGGCTGCATCGCACGAGATTTATCGCTTTGCCATGTTCATCGCGCAGTGCGTATTTGCGCTCCGCTTTACGAGTCAACGTTACACCGCGCGTTCAGCTCCATTGACATTGGAAACATACGGTAACTTTTATTGACGTTTAAACCTACTGTTACAAACGAAAACAAATTGGACATATTGTATCGTGGGCTCTTTTTTTTCATTCAAGGATTAAAATGGGGATAGAGAAAAATACAGAAGCATGTTGTTATTTAATAACCATTCCTCATGAAAAAAATGTATGCCAAAGTACAATGCTGCACCGAGATTGAAATAATTATGTTATTAATAATTAATAAACACCCCTGTGTCAAACCTCTCCTGGACAAAGCTCTCCCCACAGCGTAAATGTTTTGGGTTGGTTGACCATACTTTACCATGGTGGTCAAAATAGGTCAGAAAAGGGGAGGTGACCCAAGACCGCTTGAGACGCCACCGAAGTTAGCCACGGCTAAGAATCGAACTCAGGTCGCCAAGTTTACAATGCAGTGCAATAACCAATGCGCCACTGCTCTGCCGTTGAAATTTAACACCCTGATAAAAAAAACCCAAGTAATTCACTGGCTTGACAGGGCCTAGAAGTCCTGATCACAGTCTGTTTTTTCACATATAAAATACATGCGCTTTACTCCAACGGATCCCTCCAAATTTCGGCACCTTACCTTGCGACGACGCAGGCTACCGGGCGAGGTTGAGGCTGGGCTGGGCGACTTGGCCATGCTTGGGGTAGACAACTGGCTGCTCGGAGTACTGGTAACTGTCAAGAATTAATAAGTTACACATGAGATAACAATTGTTACAGCTGATGTGCGTCATAGGTTCTTGTGTAAAGTTTTAAATCGGCCAACTTCAAGAGGAAGAAGCATTTGATTCACATAAAAGAGATTAGAAGCGTCCGATGGCTCGGCGGGCGGGGGGGGGGCCTGCAGGGGTAGGGCACTGATTTGGGTTTGAATCCGTGATTCAAGTTATGAAATCTAGCGAGTTGAATGGTATCAGCCCAATCACAATGACGAGAGTAAAATCACAAATTCAGATGTTTTACTTATTTTAGCACATAGAATAAAAATATATATTTTACTGCAATGCAACAAACATATTTCTCGAGAAGAACATATGTGAAAGTGCTCCAAATAGAATTTTGGAACAACATCAAAATATCCCTTAGAAGGAATCTTAGAAGAAATTGGGAAGAATAAGCAGATTAATTGTCTGTGCAGCCCAAACTTCCACATGTATTCTCTGTTGCAGAAATTTCAATAAATGGGCACTTTTGAAACTAAGTATTACTCAACCCAACAAGACGCCCAAAAGGCTAATTTAAAATGTTAACCCCAAGCCAACCAGGGCTGAGATTTCATCTCATTCTTCACACTGTGCACACGTACAAGCCGAATTGACCGCACATTTATTTTTTTCTTATCCCCGGGATGTTACAATGCTGTTTATACAGAGAAAGATTGTCTTTTATATTCATAGGCTGCTGGGAAACATGCTATTCGTGAGCACCTATTGATGCTGGTATGAAACAAAATTAAATCAATCTAGATTTGAAGTTGGCCTTTAAAAACATGAATCGTTGGTCCAACAACACTCACATTCAACCGATTTTGTCCCTCCAGCGCTGATATTGACACACTGCACCGGCACTAATTTTTAGGCTGAATTGGCCTTAAAACCATGATATTATGATGCACTAAAGCTATTTTAGGAAATCTAAAGGACAACTGCAAAGGTAATTGTAAATAATTTCCAAAATCTGGACAAATGTAATCACTGTTCCACTGAACAGGAAACTAGGATGTCAACTTACAATTAACCCACAGACATACTGTAGGTCACATGACTACTCAAGGTTGTGTGCTCTGTAATCTAATTTTTGCTCATTAAAACACACTTAGAACAGTTTTCAGTGACAAAACAAAACTCGGTCACTTTATTGCAGTGCCATATCAAGTTGCTATAGTTGCTCCGAGTAAATGCGTTGCCGTTGACAATGGCCAGAAGTTACCCTAAGGAAAGCCCCAGGTGATGCTCAGATGCCGTTTGCTATGATCGTGAAAGGCCTTCAACAAAGATGTTGCTTGTCGAGATTGTAGTGTTGTTATTTATCCGCATGGACACTGCTCCGCATTATTAAACACACAGACACAAACCGATCCCACACGCGCACGACCGTGTGATCCTTTTTGGTCTCTCAGACATCACATCTGCAAGTGCTCGCATGCCGTCTCTGATGGCCTATGAGTAAAGAACGACAAACTCAAGAAGAGGCCGTCAAGTTTCCCAGGCTTGCAATTAACAGAGCTCATTTGTGACATTAATGAGCGCTGCAGTAGAAATAACAAGGTGTGCTGCTCTTCAATTGCCAATTATGGCAGGCATCAGCAGGGTTCCACAAACAAAGAATGCAATTATAACCAGGACATTTTGCTTCAGTTTCTGTCTTCACTATGCTCTAAACAATACTTTTCCAACTAGGTTATTTCTTAAAACATTTAAGGGTCTTCCCAACAGATTTAAGCCCTATTAACAAAATCCAAGGAATGCAACGCGTTTCAGAACACATCCACCAAGCAGATGGAGCGATAAAATCAACGCGTGTCAATTCCAACAGGGACTTATTTTTTCCAACTTGCAGACATCTATTTGTAGGTAAAAAAAAAAACTGAAATATGAAATGACGACAAAGCTAGTGGAATATGTTATGAGACTCTGAGAAAAACTCTGAGAATGGCACATCAGATATCCAACGATTCAATGTGCATCACGGCGGTCAAGAAGAGCAGTGGATTCTGCCCGGGCCTAAATCACTAGGTATGGTAGGAGTCAGGGAGGGAAGTGCCTTACCAGGTGACCTCACGGGCGATCGAGCAGTAGAAAATATGCTGGATCCTCGTACTGTCCTCAGCATACAGGAGTGGCACAGGGGTAAGACAGCGCACCAACAGACAAAGGACATCACAACATCATGCACACCGCACAAGAAACACATGGAATTATTAATTCTATAACCTTCGATGTTTTTCACATCATGTACGCTGTATGCAATGGGTTCACGGAGACCCCTGCAGCCCCCTGTAGCTTCTACAATCACCACAATGTAAAAATAATCGTCGAGTCGTGAATCCCGAATTGTGACAATGTCATCGTATTGGCAAGAGGTTGAAATGTTACCCCCACACCCGATTAGCGTGGTTGTCTACATACAGTGCGAAACAAGTTCAACATGCATCCATACATTGTACACATAAGTAGTGTCCTTTTGCTGAAATAGTTAATCAATTCGCACTGGTTACACATATCAAGACTAATTGGGACTGGGCCTTCTCATTCGGTCACCCTTGGCTCAACAGTGGCTTATATTTTTGTGCTATCTAGTAACATTTGAGATTCACGGTGACATTTTCTAAGTTCCTACCATGCAACTTCAGAACCACTGGGCTTTACTCAAGTGAATGTTAATTCAAGTTAAATGTAAAAAAAAATGTGTGACGCCCACAGTGTCCATAGATTCAGAGTCACGGCAAACCACAGACATGCAGGTATGCACCCAGAACCGGCGCAAACAAATGCCCAAGCTCTGTGGCCCTACATTGAGAGTAAGCTGAAGCAGCCTGATAAACCCGTACATACAAAGGGGCAACATTAAATCCTATACAGATGGGAGTCCACATTTGCTGTATCCCACTTCTCCTGGCAAGCCAGGGTGTATGGCACCTCGATGTCCAGGGCACTGAAGTTTCACAACTATAGTGTGGATCCACCAACCCAGTGAGGATATAATGAATGAGTTTAGAGAATGGAATATGGAGTCATCCTAACTACCTGGATTAAGTGTCATGTGTCAATTTTGATTCATCATGAATAAATACAAGGTCTCTCCACGCAGCAGCAGCCACAGTTATGAGATGTGCATTATGATACTGCTCTTCACTTCCATAATAGTAGGAAATTAATGAATAAAAAATGAAATCTGCCAGAGGTGACCTGATTAAGTCATCTCGTCTGAGTGGAATTTTTCAGGGCCCGAGGGGAAGCCGAGGCACGTGTGGGAGCACTAAGGGTGGGTAAGGAGAGAATGGTACTGGCGAGAGGGGGTTATGACAATGGCATTGGTGGTGATGATAGTGGGAGGTGATGGCAGTGGCAGTGTTGTTGATGGCAGTGGGAGGAGGAGGTGGCGATGGTGGGAGGTGGTGGTAGCAGTGGGAGACCTGAAACAGGAGATTTGCTCCGGCGTGACGATCCGGGGCTCCTCAGGCCACGCGGTGGTGGTACCGTCACCTTGGAGTAAGAGGCCTTCATCACCCGGCACTCTGAGAAGCGCAGGTGTACCACACACACGCACATGCACACATACCAAACACTGGTACTCAGTATTGACAGCAGCCACAAGACTCTCAGACACCCATCACAATACTCTTTGTTTTTTTACGGTAAAGTCACGTTGGTAAAAAATAAAAATGTTTACCTATGTGACTTTACCGAAAAAACCAAAGAGTATGAATCCTTGCAATCACGAAAACTTCAAATCTAGAACCCATCACAATCATGTCAAGACTGCAAGGCTCTTCAACAGTGCAATTGGGCTTGATGAGTGCGGTGAACGTGAAATGTTTAAAAGCGCTCCACTTGAGGGTTTGTCAGATATATAGTTTTCTACATATGATTTCTACTTTAGGCATCTCAGAACAGTCCTCATGCGATTTTTTGTGAATTTACATTTTACCATGTCCCACTGACCTTCACCAAGGTCATAAGACAGATGTCTTGAGCTGTATGCAAAACGGATATATATTTTAATTTACCATAAGACATATCCCTGCTCTACAGGATCACAAACGTGCACGTGTCATGTGTACTTGGGGCATCCATCATCCAAAGGCGAAGCAATAACATACAGTACAGCATCTTCTAAATTAGCAGTTGCATGCAATTTTGCATATTTTTCCATGACCTTACATTGTTCTTGAAAACAATGTAAAAAAACACTAATCTCCTCTAAAGTAGACCCCTTTGGCATTCATGGTGCATATTTATACTCCCCTGGAAGGTTTACAAAATGGAGGTGGGATCAACAATGCAGTCTTTGTGATCTTCCATGTCGGTACCCAGAACATTTACGACTGGGTTGCCCAGTCACCAAATTGAAATGCAATTCAAATAGCCATTCTGCAGAATTGCCTTCATTCAGAATTGCAGAAAGGACTAATTATAATTCCACCTTTAAGTACAGATGGGCAGGTTTTTTTTGTTTTTGGAAGCTGACAATCAGCCAATTCCAAAGGCCCAATCCCATCCTCGTTCCTTTGATGTGCCCACAGCTCATGAGTTATCTCCTTAACCCTTTCAGCTACTCATTTGTTTTTCCCCCCACTACAACTCTAATAAGTGTAAGGCTATCTCTCTCTCTGGTTCTATGGGCTTTAAGGTCCTTCTGAGTAACTTGTATTCTCACGTCGGTGGGGAAAGCGTGCTGGCTATTTTCACGAAAAGGCTGTAGTTTAACATGGCATAACATAAAATATGGGTGGAAAGTTGATTGGTGTGGTGGTTAGCACACTACGCTATGAACCTGGTGCCCTGAGTTCGATTCCCATCCACAGCTAACATCGGTGGTGGCTGACATTTAACTGATCCTGGGCTCCACTAAACAACAACCCACACTGACCAATGTGAGGTGAAGTATGGTCAAACAACGCCCACAACTGACATGGTGTATGGAAGCCTTCGTCTGCCAGTGGATTGACAAATGGCTGAAAATTAACATAAAAGACGAGCTGCATACAAGTCCCCCAAAAGAATACGGAAATGTCTACCAGAGCAAGGGCTGACCTTGGAAAGACCGTTGGGGGATTTTGGGATGTTGTGAAACCCGAGCTTGCTGAAGCAACCCCACCTGGCCCATGGATTTATGATTTGTATCTGACCTTGCAAGATCCACTCAAGAGCTCATCACTCACTGCACGCTAATCATTTGCCCGTTAAACAACACACGCACAGAGGTCTTTAAAATGAGAGGTGCGCGTTTGTAAACACCATAATTTGGAAACAACAGTGTTACATTTGTTTATTGCGTTCTTCAGCACCACGGCCCTAAAAATTGGCTAACCCCTAAGCAGGCGCTGCAGCGGTGCTAGTAAAAGGCTCCAATTAGGCGCAGTTACTGGGACGCTGCCTCTCCCACGAACGCTCTCTTTACACGAGCAAGCGCCTGCTGACGGGGGGGGGGGGGGGGGGCAGACGTAACCAAGGCAACCCCCTTGCCACCGCTAGGTTGCCATGCCAACGTAATGGCTGTTCCTCCTTTTTATTTTTTCAAAGTGAATTTGAAGCACTGGCATTCCATTTTTAATGCATTCTGCATTTCGTCGTCTGCGGGGATTTTTAAATGCCGAGCCAGAGTCTTGGCGGGGGCCGTTGCCAGCGGCAGACAAAAAGGTTGCTGCGTCGCGCACCGCTGAAATAAGCAACGTTGGCAAAAATGTATCAGGGCACGGTACATCGCATGCATTCACCCCTGCAGCCATTATCGTGGCGCAGACAACGTAACATTGTTTAGCGTTTAGAAATAAAACTATTCACGGGGTCCTCACAAAAAAAAACCATTACCAACGTTGCCCCCAGAAGCCAAACAAATGAAAGCTGCCGTGGCACATGAATAGCCACTGCTAATACACTGGTGGTGACATTAAACCTGTAATGCGCAGACGGAATATAATAAAGAAGGGTTATCAACGAGCCTGTTGTAAATCGCGATGAAAAGGGGCCATGCCCAGATATAGGCGAGTGGGTAAAATTAAATTTAGTGCCACCGACAGAGGCCTGCTTGGCTCCGAAGTGCCCGGCGTGGTTTGGGTGTGCGTCGGATTCTAAACCGGCGTGAAGGCATCATTCATCAGCACGGAACTCGGTGGAGCTGTGACAGATTCATCCCCCGTGGGTGTCAAACCCGTGCCCTTTATCAAATATCTGTACCCGTGAAATGACACATGCAGGCTCATGTTTGAGAGATTACAAAGGTTCCATGGCTTGTAAAGGGGTTTTCCTTCTTTCTTGTTTAGTTCAAGACAGTTTTTGTTTTGTTATATTAATTATGCCATGGTTTCTCGATTGTGCCGAGTTTGAGGGTGTTTAGCCTGACACCCACCCCAAGTTGCCATGCCTCGGAGTTGGGCTTTGTAAGGAGATGCAAATCTGCATAATGACTACATTTATTAATGCTTAACCAACCTCCAATCACTAACACACCACCCATTCACCTTCGCAAAGGTTCCTTTAAGCACCCACCGCATCATCTTATTGCAATTACAAAGATTTTTTGCTGATTACAAACAAACACCTTGTGAAAGACCCAATGCAGACAGACAATCCCTGAGTTAGATCTTCCACGAAGCTCAAGGTCGACCCTAAACCAAATCTGCACAAACCATGACAGATGCAGATGCACAAATGGAAAATTAAAAACTCTCCAGTGTGCGACTGTGGCCACCCAGAACTGACCACACAACGTATAACAACACAATACCCGATCCACAAATACGAAAAAGAGATCACAGCAATACACTCCACCACTACTAACGCGGTTATCTGGCTTGACCACCTGAATGTCAAATCACAGTTGTTGCTCTGCATCTACATCAGCCGTACATTGGTGAGGGCTCACCAAGTATCAAGAAACTGGAGTACCCACAGAAAACCGCACACACTCAAAGCTTCATAACACAAGGATTATATCCACAGACTGGATCCAGTGAGAGGACTGAATGTATCTTTGGACTGCACCCATTGGTCTGCTGCCATCCATTGGCACCTCACAGCACTGACAGCCCCACACCGACAACACCTAGTAAGCACTGATGGGGTCACCCATCTAAATACTAACCAGGCTCAAGCCTGATTAGCTCCCAAGATCTGATGAGATCTGTCACTTTCAGGGTGATTTCCTCAAAGGCTGTACTTGAGTACTTTTGTATTCCACTGATGCCACAGCAGAAACAGTCACTGCAACACAATGTATGGTGTTAAACACTCCAGAAGCCGTTTTGAATACATCATCTCTCTGGAAACAAATAGCGGAAAATAAGGCACATCAAATGTATACATTTAATCAGATTATCACAATTTTACGGTTTTGCTTTGCAGATGAGCAGTCACGCTTTGGTAGTTGGGGGTGTGGTACTCACGAATGGTTCCTGGTGGAAATTGGTTGGATCATAGATGCATAGTGCCATTATATTTGCTAATGCTACCATTAATTTAATATTGCCGTGCTATAACATACTACAGACAAACCCCTGTGGGTACTCCAGTTTCTTGAACAGTCACTGCAACACAATGTATGGTGTTAAACACTCCAGAAGCCGTTTTGAATACATCATCTCTCTGGAAACAAATAGCGGAAAATAAGGCACATCAAATGTATACATTTAATCAGATTATCACAATCTTACGGTTTTGCTTTGCAGATGAGCAGTCACGCTTTGGTAGTTGGGGGTGTGGTACTCACGAATGGTTCCTGGTGGAAATTGGTTGGATCATAGATGCATAGTGCCATTATATTTGCTAATGCTACCATTAATTTAATATTGCCGTGCTATAACATACTACAGACAAACCCCTACGTAACATATGTTCAGCTAAATTTAACTTAATGCACGATGCTATAATTGTATTAAATAAATGCAACTACTGTACTGGCTAATGAGCCTACTGTTCGTGCACTACTATGTATCTAAACATCTCGTCATCAGTATAACCAGCATTTTATGTCAATGTCGTGAATTTTGTCTACAATGTTGTGGGTGTCTCTTAGCCATATCTAAACATATCGGGGGATTATTCTTGGTTCTTTCGGTAAAGTCACGTAGAAGGGAAACAATAAAAGAATAAAAATATAAACAATAAAATTCTCATATTTTTTTATTAATTTTAATTTTATTGTTTCCCTTCTACGTGACTTTACCGAAAGAACCAATAATATGAATCCCTGCAGTCACGAAAGCTTTAAATCAAAATATTGGGGGTACCCTGACACCCAGGACACCCACGGTGGCTGCGTCGCTGCTTCTGCTTTGTAGTGGTGGAGTGTGCGGAGTGGCGTCGCCCTAAAAACATAAACGTCGAATTGTGTGCAGGACTCACCGCCATCATCGATGAGGAAGTCGTCCGAAGCATAGCGGAACTTCTCCGGGCCGCACGCTATGAACACATCGTCATCGCCAAAGAAGTCCTGTAGACAGGTCACCTAGTGTACAGAGACACACACACGTGCAGGGCAAAGACAATTATCACCCCGTGCTGTTCGTGAGCACCTATTTAAGTCATGGTACCGTCAGAGCAGATGAATGCCACCAAACAGTAATCCAGCAAAAGCAATGGCAACGCTTGTGGAAGGTAACAGAATCCTAAGATGATGGAGAAAAAATATACACCCACGACAAGGGGTTAGTAATCTAAGGGTGTCACGAAAAAACACCTATTGTTACAACTTTTCACCAACCCCAACCTTTTTGGTGGTAGGAGCAGGTGTACTTAATCACGCCCAGCAACAGGAAAAACAAAATATAGTAACAGTTAATATAAAACAACGCTGGAACAATAATCTCTACAACTTGGGAACCTTGCCATACTCTGCAATATCTGTAAAACCATCATTAATCAAGCAAGAATCAATTTAGTGTTGACATTCGCAGATCTAGGCAACCATATGTCACTGCGGCCTGATGTCAAGCCTCCATCACGGCCACCATAAATATAATCTGTCATTGTAAGCCACTGCTCCGGGCGTTTTTCTGCGGCTCAGCGCTTTTGGCGCTTGTCCACTGGGGACCAGGTTGCAGGGACAGGGCAGGGTCGGAGTCTCCTAGGCCCAACACTTGTTCTAGTTTCTCCCTGAACCCAACAAACCATCTAATCCTTGTGTTCATAATGCAAATAAGAAAATGTATCTTAAGTCAGTGTGGCGTAAAATATGGAAATATGCCCACTCGGGGTACTATTTACTAGATTATTAAAATTTTACCAGGAAAAACCCACTGAGCTTTATAGCTCTTTTTCAGAAGCGACCTGGCCACACATGATAGCTGAACGAAGTGGCTTATCATGTGGAAATGTATAGCAGCCAAATACTCTAAACACGTTTCTAAATGTGGAGGCAAAAACCGCAGGATCCAGAGAAAAATCTACACAACCACGAGGAGAGAGACATGCAAACTCCAAATATACAAGCATCAGGGTCAAGATCGGACCCACGCACTCATGCATACCAAGCGAGGTAGTTAACATCTCGCCACCATGGCGTACAATGATTCAAGCTCCCCAAACCACCTCTAATGCAATACATATTCGCAAATCAGGGCTGCAATTCGATTTTTGTTACATTTTGGCGAGTGTAGTTGTCTAGTGGCAGTAGGGATCATCTGAATGGATTACATAGCTTATACGAATAGAATAACAGCAATTGTTTACATGTGGCATTTTATATATGTATCCAGAACTAAAAAAATCTATATTCACACCATTAGCGTACACTCACATACTTTGGATGACTACACCAATTGTTTTTATCTTTTACACGTTTATGGTTTAATTGTTTGTGACCACACAATTTGCCACATACACCAATGTAATTACTTTATCCAACTTTACCGGGAGTTGGATGAAAGCAAGGTATCTCCTCATAAAAGCTGTCCAAATAAAACACGATTAGTGAATACTTCATATCATACAAGCTTGAGCTTCCGGCACACACACCCCCTACTCACTTAAAAGGGTAGCACTGCTGCCGACTTTAATGACCTAGAAAATGAGCAGCAATCCTTCTTTGGCAGGAAATTGCTGAAAAGAGCGCAGACTTTTAGATGTTCAGTGTAATCTGTCTAAACAGAGACACTCGCGCATGCAATCAACGTGTGTAACGCTAGAAACAGTGGTCGGCAACCAAAATAATAAGAGTTGATATTCTTTGGTTCTTTCAGTAAAGTCATGTAGATAGAAAAAAATAAAGTGAATAAAAATACGTTTCGATCGCAACACCTTTTCCTGATGATGACTGCTTGTGTTGCGATCGAAACGTCGTGGTATTTTTATTCACTTTATTTTTTTCTTCATCTACGTGACTTTACCGAAATAACCAAAAAATATGAATTCCTGCAGTCACGAAAGTTTTAAGTCAAAATTTTACAAGAGTTGAACTTGGTTAAAAAAAAACTCAACATTTCAAAAGCCGCAATGCATGTGAATATGAGATAGTGATCCTTAACAAATATTGTCCCAAAGCAGTCCTTAAATATCCGCACGCAGCTCCCAAGCCACAGGTTGCCGACCCCTACCTCAAAGGGTCCTCCTCTACTGGAGCAGATATTATTCCCGTCTTTGCTCTACTAACTGTTGGTCACCTAATATACAAACCTATAGCCCATATTTTCAACCTGTCCATCAAAGAAGCATCAATTCCTCTAGAATGGAAACATTCCTATGTCCGTCCACTTCACAACGGGGGCCCTAAAGATCATCCAAATAACTTCCGACCTATCTCAATTTTGAGAATTGTTTTTTTACCCTTTTATCTGGCAACAAAACTGACACCTTTTTTTACAAGAAGTCATGTTTACATTGACCACAATACCTGCGGTTGGAACGCAAACAAAAAACAACTCTGATAATGTATGTGGCACTGTCCTTGAAATTGATTGGTCCACACCCGAGACAGCTTTCTTTAGAGCCTCGTCTCACATGGTGTTGGACCAGAAGACGCCAAAAGGCGCACAACTGAAAGACAATGCACCATCAGAGTATGAGAGCTCGGGGTAAGCATTTACACCACCATTGGAAACCTCATTTGCCAGTAACAAAATATGATAATTGTTTTTTTACCCTTTTATCTGGCAACAAAACTGACACCTTTTTTACAAGGAGTCATGTTTACATTGACCACAATACCTGCGGTCGGAACGCAAACAAAAAACAACAACTCTGATAATGTGTGCACTGTCCTTGACGGCAGGTATTGTGGTCAATGTAAACATGATTCCTTGTAAAAAAGGTGTCAGTTTTGTTGCTAGATAAAAGGGTAAAAAACCAATTATCATATTTTGTTACTGGCAAATGAGGTTTCCAATGGTATCTCAATTTTGTCCCCATTGATGAAAATTTTTGAAAAATTATTGACCTACCAAATTAGCAGTTTCCTGTCCACCAACAATCTACTACATCTAAAACAATCTGGGTTCCGAAAAAAATACAGCACCACATCTGCTGCATTAGACTCTCTGAATCACATTTACAGTAGCCTTGATAATACAGTGAGGTAAAAAAGTGTTTGATCCCCTGCTGATTTTGTACGTTTGCCCACTGACAAAGAAATGATCAGTCTATAATTTTAATGGTAGGTTTAATTGAACAGTGAGAGACAGAATAACAACAACAAAATCCAGAAAAACGCATGTCAAAAATGTTATAAATTGATTTGCATTTTAATGAGGGAAATAAGTAATTGACCCCCTCTCAATCAGAAAGATTTCTGGCTCCCAGTTGTCCTTTATACAGGTAACGAGCTGAGATTAGGAGCACACTCTTAAAGGGAGTGCTCCTAATCTCAGCTTGTTACCTGTATAAAAGACACCTGTCCACAGAAGAAATTTGCCAATGAACATCTGAATGATTCAGAGGACAACTGGGTGAAAGTGTTGTGGTCAGATGAGACCAAAATGGAGCTCTTTGGCATCAACTCAACTCGCCGTGTTTGGAGGAAGAGGAATGCTGCCTATGACCCCAAGAACACCATCCCCACCGTCAAACATGGAGGTGGAAACATTATGCTTTGGGGGTGTTTTTCTGCTAAGGGGACAGGACAACTTCACCGCATCAAAGGGACGATGGACAGGGCCATGTACCGTCAAATCTTGTGAGAGAACCTCCTTCCCTCAGCCAGGGCATTGAAAATGGATCGTGGATGGGTATTCCAGCATGACAATGACCCAAAACACACGGCCCAGGCAACAAAGGAGTGGCTCAAGAAGAAGCACATTAAGGTCCTGGGAGAGGCCTAGCCAGTCTCCAGACCTTAATCCCATAGAAAATCTGTGGAGGGAGCTGAAGGTTCCAGTTGCCAAACGTCAGCCTCGAAACCTTAATGACTTGGAGAAGATCTGCAAAGAGGAGTGGGACAAAATCCCTCCTGAAATGTGTGCAAACCTGGTGGGCAAATACAAGAAACGTCTGACCTCTGTGATTGCCAACAAGGGTTTTGCCACCAAGTACTGAGTCATGTTTTGCAGAGGGGTCAAATACTTATTTTCCTCATTAAAATGCAAATCAATTTATAACATTTTTGACATGCGTTTTTCTGGATTTTTTGTTGTTATTCTGTCTCTCACTGTTCAAATAAACCTACCATTAAAATTATAGACTGATCATTTCTTTGTTAGTGGGCAAACGTACAAAATCAGCAGGGGATCAAATACTTTTTTCCCTCACTGTAAGCAGTACTGTGCCTGTCTTTTTATAGGCCTGTCCAAAGCTTTTGATACAGTAGACCACAATACCCTGCTTAGTAAATTAAGCTGCCTCTGTTTTTCCAAAAACGCAGTAAAATGGTTACAAAATTACCTCTTTTCTAGCACCCAAACTGTATTCACAGATGGTTGGAGGTCAAACAGTGTTAAGATAACAAAAGGGGTTCCACAGGGTTCCATCCTCGGCCCCCTTTTGTTCTCTCTTTATGTCAATGACTTGGGCACTGACCTGGATCATTCCAGGGTAAATCTTTTTTGCAGATGACACGATACTGATTACTGCTGGCCGCTCTCCAGATGACCTGATTGCTAAGCTACAGGGTGATTTCAACAAACTACAACATCAGCTAGTTGCTCTTAAACTAGTCCTGAATACCTCCAAAACCAAGGTGCTATGCTTCTCACCAGGACCAAAGCAGGAAGTTATTTTTCCCCAATCACATTCCTTAAATAATGATCAAATAGAGCAAGTCAAGATCTATAAGTATCTTGGGGTCATCCTGGATTCAAAACTGAATTTTGAAGATCACATTGATTATATTGGTAAAAAGACAAAAATAAAAATTGGTTTTCTGTATCGACACAAGCACTGCTTCCCCCCAATGTTCCGTTTGGAATTGATAAAAGCTACCATACTGTCTCTACTTGACTACTGTGACATCGTGTATAAATCAGCCCCAAGTACTGTACTGAAGAAGCTTGATTCCATCTATCACTCGGCCTTAAGATT